CATCCAAAGTGAGAAACCCACCTAGATCCTTCCTTAATCTAGACTTGAGATCTATGAACTTAAATAGCTTACGCCTCTCAGTCTAGTAACTTTCCTCTAATGTAGATGTAGAGTATATATACCACTTTTTAGGGATTTGCCGGTGAGTTTTCTTGACTCGCAAGCCTGAATTTGTTGTGACGATATGTATACCACTTTTTAGGGATTTGCCGGTGAGTTTTCTTGACTCGCAAGCCTGAATTTTGTTGTGATGATGTTATATATCACTTTTTAGGGATTTGCCGGTGAGTTTTCTTGACTCGTAAGCTTGAATTTTGTTGTGACGATGTTACCTTGCTCTGATGATGTCCGTCATATGACGGACGAAGGAATCGAAGGAGATTGCCTTGGAAACAGCGTCAGCATGAATCTTTCAGTAAAGCCAATCGACAGCTGGTCAAGAGGAATTCGCCGTCGTCTTCTGGTGGAACCGACCTTCGAAGCCAGTAAAGCCAATCGACAGCTGGTCAAGAGGAATTCGCCGTCGTCTTCTGGTGGAACCGACCTTCGAATCCTCGCGTCAGCATGAATCTTCCAGTAAAACCAATCGACAGCTGGTCAAGAGGAATCCGCCGTCGTCTTCTGGTGGAACCGACCTTCGAATCTCCTCAACCTAATCGACAGCTGGTCAAGAGGAATTCGCCGTCGTCTTCTGGTGGAACCGACCTTCGAATCTCTTCACCCGACTTCTCCTCGAAATGGAAGTAATCCCAACAAGCGATTTCTTGTCATATCTCTTATTTATCAGATCCCAAACCCTCTGTGACTTCTGGTCTGTTATGCTCTGTAGTTTTTTTTGAGAGACATCCAAAGTGAGAAACCCACCTAGATCCTTACTTAATCTAGACTTAAGATCTATGAACTTAAATAGCTTTCGCCTCTCAGTCTCGTAACTTTCCTTTAATTTCTGGATGAAGGCATAATAAAGTATTTCATTGACTGTGTGAATACCTCTCTTTTGCCTTCTCTGTCATGCAAACTGCTTGCTTGGCGGCCCAGTTGGACGCTCGGTTCTTCCGTTTTTTCGGCTCCGAGTTGAACTCCGGCCTCAACAGCCCCGTCTGTCCGGCCCGCCTTGAACTGATGGCTCTGTTGGCCACTTGCGCGATGCATTCGAGTCTGCGTCGGCTGTTGTGGAGCAACATGGCCTTCTGGCTGGAGCCGACGCTGGCCGGTCTCTTCAGCCAGCACCGATCGTGTCGCGAGGAGGCCTGCTACGCCCTGGCCTACCTCTTCAGCGAGGCCAGTCTGGCGCGCGACATCCACTGCCAACTGAACGTCGACCTGGAGCACGACGTGGCCGCGGCCGTGGTACGTGCCATGGAGACGCATCGCGAGTCGTTCATGCACTACTACTGCCTCGTCGGATTCATCCTCGAGGGCTGTCCCAGCTTCACGGTGCTCGAGTGCATACTCGAGCGGTGTCCCGTCAGTCGGTGTCGCCTGCTCCACCATATCTGGCCGCGATTCGTCTATTTGGCCGTGAAACACTGGCCCTTGGTGCATCTACAGCAGGACCGCGGCCATCTTCGCCGTCTCGGCGAGGCTCTTGAACGTGCCTTTCTCAGACCCATCTCGCGGCGACAGGCCAACATTGCCCTTCTGCAACTGGGCATCAAGTACAAACGCGTCTCCAGGCTGGTGACGCACTGGTGTTCTGAGTGGGTGGATGAAGTTTAGCACAGCACGACAACAGACTCGGTGTTTCGAGGCGCAACTTTTTGCCCTCTCGACAGGACAACAATTGAAGCTGTACAGACACACACACACACTCACTCAACATAGCCATTCGGCCCAGAGGACTTATAGCTTCTGGTCGAGTCCAACCCAAAATTAAAAATTAAACTCGGCCAACATTCATTTGGGTTTAAAACTATAGGCCGCCTAAACATCAATGTATGCGTCGAAAGGACGAGACTATATTCCTTTCTATCATTCCTGGTGGAATGATGTAAAAGCATGTATGGGTTTAAAAATAAAAAGCTTGATGGCCAACCACAAAAAAGGATGACATGAAAGTGATTAATTTGTAAAAAGATTATCAAAATCTCAAAAGCTTTCACCCTTTGTTAAGGCTGTGAATTTAAAAATAACAATACAGACTTTGATAAAAATTTTAACTTATATTTCCTCTTGGGGTTCTTGGTTCAGATTTGGCCATTTAAAATTATATTGGGCAAAAGTCGCATTCAAAGTGCTAAATAGTTTTGCTTGCTATTACCTAGGGTAGCTCCGGCCCCTTGCCATGTGTCTACTGAAATTAATTATGAGTAGTACGCTTCAAAATATCCAAGGTGTAAAGCATATTATCAAGTGAAATTTGAGGGTTGAAATGATACCCAGCTAAACGGCCTCTTCGCTTCGACACGATCAGACTAAAGGAAGATTTCAAAGAAACCTGCTTCTAAGCGTTTCGTTTTTGAGTTTGAGCATTGCTTGCGTGTCCAGTGAGACATCATGGAGACAAAAACATGAGTAAACCTTACATTTGCATATAATTTCACATATCCATGCTTTCCCAAAATGTATTACCATCCCGGCTGGAATGGACTGCAATTTCGACCTCGCCTAGGTTTCAACAGCGCTCCCAGCGGGACTCGAACCATGACAGTACAGTACAGCACTACGCCTGACTGCCACGAGTGCACTTGAGTCACAAAGGATATGTGAATTTCAAGTAAGTGCTGTCATTTTCCCACATCACATCTTGTGGCACGATCGTCGATTTGACTATATTACTTTTTTCGTTTTGGGGCAGGTTTTAGAGACTGCCTTTTGGGGAAGCAAGCCTTAGTGAAATTCAATAGTAACTTAAGGTCCGCTCATATGATTGTAGTAAACTACAGCTACCACTACTCCACCTATCACCTTTGAAGCGGCGCGGTGAATGTTCTGCTGTTAGTTTCAAAGGCCTGATTATAGACTTCTTAGAAGCCGAAACTTTGCTACGTCAGACAAAATCAGATCTAGTAAATTATAATATAATACATTGCAGTATACTATATCATATTAATATATATATTTACCCTATTTCTTTTAAGGTGCTGAATGACTAGCAATTGAATTGTCCCACAATCTTATGAGCGGCCTCACGCTTCCATTGAATTTCACACAACATTACTCTCCAAACCATATTCTCATCCCGGCTAGGGTGGACTACAGTTTCGGCCTCACCTCAAGTCCTACTGGGGCTGGTGATGAGAATAGCTTTCAAGAAGCAGGACCTACACATATCATTGCGGGCAAATCCAACTGCCAGTCCTTCGTCACCCTAAACGAATTGTGGTGAATAT